TCACTAATCCCACGGGGGCTCAGGTATAGGTAGGGATGACAAAGGGCCGGGGGCGGTTTTGAGTGGGTATACCTTCCCCTGCCCAAAATCGCTTAAACGGGAGACCTTTCAACCTCTTTCCGCCCCGTTTTATTTTTTTACCCCCGCGGGCTCCCACACCGCCGTTTAGTTTCAGAATTTTACCTTTTTTTTTTTTTTTTTTTTTTTTTAAATACATTTAAATAACTATTGAAAAAAATTATAAAAAATGGACAATCAATAATTTAGCATAAAATTGAAGAGGATAAGCATTCTTAGTTAGTAGGACTTTGCCACTCACTAGAACAGTTGAGAAAGTGGGTGAATGTGACTTAATAATAAAAATTATTCTCGTTCAAATAAGCTAAATGGTCCCCCAAAACTGTTATAAACGGGGTGGGGTGGGACGGGTACCTGCAGGGACGGAGCCAGGGTTTTAATTTAGGGGGGCGTAGTGTAAAAAAAAATATATATAATTTCAATAAGAAGAACCAAAAAAAAAAAATACATACTACATACATCATTCTTAAGTGCAAAAAGAAGAATGTTAAGAAGTAGGGGGCAAAAAAAAAAAAACATAAGAAGAAGAAGAAGAAAGAAAAAGGGAAAAAAAATGAGAAATTTGAAATGAAAAAAAATTATAGTTAAAATAAAGAAGGAAAATTTAACTTTTTTTTTAAAAAAAGAAATTAAAGGAATATTAAGAGCAAAAGAAAAAGGAAAGAAAAATTTAGAAGACAAGTTTAGAAATTAAAAATTTTAGGGGGGTATTATGTAAATTTTTTTTATTTTTTTTTATTTTATAAATGTACAAATTAAAAAATAAAAAATTACTATATTTTATAATGGACGAGAGGCCAGGGAGACATGTGCCCCCACTGGACACATACAGGCTCCACCCTTGCCTACAGGGTAAATTGTCATCCCCAAGCATAGGAACTTAAATTTGAGCACTTATTATTCTAAAAGCTCTAAAAGTAAAAATAAAAATAAAAATTATTTTTCAACTGAGTTCATCAGCCAAGTTATTTATTCAGTACGTTTTATTATAATTATTATTATTTTTTTTGGTATGGTAAATTGGACCACCGACTACTTCAATTCCTTTCCTTATAGACTTATAGTACTACCTATGTTTATCTAATAGTATTATTGTAATAGGCAATCTACTACCTTGCTTGATCAAAAAGAAAACAAACTTACACCTCACTATCACGATAAAACCCTCTCCTTTACCCCCAAAAAAAACCCTAGAAAGCTACAAGATCTACAACAATGGCGTTTTCGTCATCAAGAGCTCTCACCAGAGCCCACACTCTCATGAAGCTCCTCCCTCCAAGGGTTGCAGCTCCGTTCTCCCTTCGTTCCCTCAGCTCTGCAGCCTCTCCTCCAAAGACCAGTTCTAATTCAAACTCAAATTTCGGATCAGGAATTCCATCGAAAGGTTCAGATTTCCACTCAAAACTGTGTCCTAATGGCGAAGGTAACAGAAACAGAGTACTCAATTGCTTTTCCGATTATTATTATTATTATTATTTGAATGTGTGATTATGATTTCAATTTTTATTCACATACAAGTGGCTAGCTTTGAGTAGTTTAATTCAACTTCCACTGCTTAAAACTGACATAGAAAAATTGACGGTTAGTGGAGACCGCGATGGCATTAGTTAATTTGTATTTTAAAACTAATTAAAGCTTCCAATTTATTAACACGTAATGATAGAATCTATGAAAATAAATATTTTTTATTATGTAATAAGATACAATTAATTAATATGGTATACAGGAAATCTTTAAAATAGCCAATTCCAATGGTGAATAAATATATTTAATTTCAAGACACCAATTATAGTTACATGCAAAATTTGATGCATTTACTAATTAATTTCGGGTTGAGATGTTCAGCTTGTTCACTGGTGAATCGGTTTATGAAAGAAGGGTCATCCATCCCTTACAAGGTGATGGAAGACAATGAAGCAATGTATGCAAGATTGGACATACCGGGGATAGGAAAAAAAGGGCTGAAGCTGTGGGTTGAAGACAACTCTGTGCATGTGAATGGAGAGGAAGAGGAAGAAAAGTGTTCACGGTTGGTGGAGGAATGTCGGAGGAAGTATTACGGCAACATCGACATCCCTCAGAGCAGCTGCTACAAGGTGGAAGAGATTGCAGCGGAGCTCAAGAATGGTGTGCTCAAGGTCAAGATTCCAAAGAGAAAAGACATTATCAATGTCAAGGTGAATGGTCCGTCTAGTGAAACCGGCTTATTTGATGATGCTTTCCCCTGGCTAATTCTTTGGATGCTCTTTTGGTCCTAGCTAGGCTGGTTGATATTGTTTATTCTTTTTCTCTTGTTCATAAATATACATTTTTATTTACTTAAAAGAAAAGGTCAAGTTGAGAAATTGTTGCTTTTGCATTTTGCAATCATTGCCTTGGTTTTGAAATTTTACAAATTAAATTGAAGGAACTTAAAATTAAGACATTCATTCAGTGCTCTTAAACACAAGTATATGAAATTTCCTTTTTGGATGTTCTCTATTTTAATTCTTCTATTTAGAGGTTGATCGGGGATTGGGGATGGATTGTCCACATGGGCTATGAAAGTGTATTTTTCCAGAGTTTAGGTTTATGTTTTTTAAGAATTGAAAATAAAATTTTTTAATCTGGGCACTATTTGATAGCACAATTGAGCACTTAAAAAACGTAAGGTAAAATTTTAAATGACAGGAATACCACTTATCAAAAAAATATTTATTATTTAATTACTGCTTAAAATCTTAGGCACTTAAAATTTTTAGAAAATTGTTTTCAAATAACTTAAGACAATTTTTTTTCTACCTTCTCAAATTATGTATAGAAAGTCAAACATGCTTTGAATTTGATGTATTCTTCATGTTCTTGTGTAAAGTAAACTCTCAAACCCTACTCACACACACACTTTATTTTTTTGGAGAATGGAACTCCCATCATTCACTTTGGAAGATAGAACATACAACATTGGGTTACAAAGTAAAGTTCAGATCTCTAAATAACAAAGTCAATGTCCTCCAACCTTTTATTCTAAAATACAATCAAATTATCTTCTTAAATAAAAAAATTCCTTTCACTCAATTTTTTTTTTTTTTTTTTTAAAAAACATCCGTTCATTGATTCTATCTTCCTCATGATGCCCCAATGAGAGGAGGGACAACAATAAAATATGAAACAAAAGGGGAAAGGAGAGTACCCAACAATGCCTTCACACAAAGTACATTGGACTCAAGTTCTAGCAGAAGCAACATACAAAATAGATGCAACATATATAACACACCTACAAACTACCACCGTTGGACTCTATATCCATCCTTGTGAATGACTCCACTTCTGTTAAGCTGAGCACTTCATGTTAGCAACCAGTTATGAGCACAGGAGCTTGAACAGGCCTGCATAAAGAGGCTGTAGAGGTCTAGTTTAGTGGAAATAAGTCTCAAATCCAGGGACTTTCTTAAATTGACAGAAGCTAGCCTTGCTCTGGTGCAAGACTTAATCTGTGAAATTATGTGTTGCGGAGGAGTAGCAGCATTTCTGAAACTCTTGCATTCCTCTCCTGCCATAAGAAGTAAATTGCAGCAGACAGTAATAGCTTGTGAGTCAAAAAGTTTGGTGAGTTCCAATGGTTTGAGCACCATTGAACCAAGTCAGACCAACAATTGGGAATGATGTAGAAGACTGCAATGTGTTGTATGAACCTCCACACCTGGGAACTGTAAGTACAATTGAAGAACAAGTGGTCCATGGATTCACTTTCTGTGCAACAAAGATAACATCTATTGACATAGTGCTGATTGAGCATTGACTTGGAGTCAAAGGTGTAGAGCCTTTTTCTCATAGCAAGCCAAAAAATGCAGCTGTGTTTAGGTATATGGTGTTTGAACCAAACCAAATGTTTCCAGACAAATGTAGGAGATGGAGGGGTGAAGTAAGACATAGTGTGAGAAAATGAATACCCTTCTGTGGGACAAGGTAACCACATAATGCAGTCAACTTCATTACATGGTGCAGGAAGGGAGTGCAACTGGTTTATAAAACCCTGGGATTGGAAGAATTGTGTGAACTGGACTGAGGGGGATTAGCCAATGATTTATGGAAATTAGACTATCAACTGTGGTAAGGGTGTTTAGTTGAAGAATTTCTAAATCATTCAAGCCTAATTGTTTGACTATAGGACCATCAGGCAACCAGAAATCCATCCATAACCTGGTATTAGCACCATTCCCCACCTTATATCTTATAATTCCTCTTGCCATATCCATTCTGCAACGTGTTGATTCTAGGTGACACAGTAATTTTTTTTTTTTTTAAGACTCCACCACCCCGTCAATTGAACCAAACACAATGAGAGTGCAATCATCAAAAGAGTCTAATTATTATTATTATTATTTTCACCCAAAAAATTCAAACCTTAAATCTGATTAACTGATCCACATGACCAAATAATTGGGCCACCTTGGTAGTAGTATAGAAACTTTTAGCTACTCAAAATTAAGTATCATTATAATTATAAGAACTCGTAAAAAGGTAAAATCAAACTCTTATTGAGTCCCTTTTTTAAATCAAACTCAGCCAAACTGCAAAGCCAAAGCACCCTCATCCAATTTAAGCAATAATGCAGCGGTATCACTGGAACCAACAGAACAATACTTGCTTTCTAACAACTTCTCTTGTGTGTACATTTAACCCAAAAAAAAAAAACTTCTCTTATGTACGTTTTTGAGTCCCTTTTTTAAATCAAACTTTCTAATTGTTTTAACTAAATTATTATATTTTCCAATATATTAATCCTGTAGTACTTCTAATCATGTAGTACTTCTCAATAGATATGTTTCATATCTCATGCACCTATTAGCATACTTGCCCAGAAAGAAAAAAAGAAAGACCCAAACCTTTCCACTCTCTCTATATCTCTGTCACCCAGAAACCCGAGAAATTAAGGTCCAGCAATGGCATCATCATCATCAAGACCACTCACCTCCACCTACTCTCTCATGAAGCTACTCTCTCCACTGAATGCCTCTCCAGTTTTGGTTCGTTCCTTCCGCCCCAACGCTAGTGCCAAAGGTAATTAAGAAAAGACTCGCTGATTGATTGATGAGTAATATTGTTGCGTGCATTGAATGTGCTTGATGATTTCATTTGTTTTGTTTCAGTTTGTCCTCTGGTGAATCCATTTTTAAAAGAGGACAAGGAAGTGTTGTATGCGAGGATTGACATGCCGGGGATCAGAAGAAAAGGGCTGAAGCTGTGGGTGGAGGACAACTCTCTGCACGTCACGGGAGTGGAAGAGGTGGACGATGATGGTCCGGGCCCCAGGAAGTTCTCCGGCGCCATCAACCTCTCTCAGGGCTCCTATAAGGTGGACAAGATCACGGCGGAGCTCAAGCGCGGTATGCTCAAGATCAAGGTCCCAAAGATCAAGTTAGAGGACAGGAAAGATATCATCCTCGTCAATGTCGAATGAGTTAGTTTCTAGTTCTTGTTTGGAGTTTCTTAGTGTCTAGCTAGCTCGCAGCTACGTACCTAGGGTTTATGAAGGGTTTTAAGACAATTACATCTCTTTTCCCTGAATTTCTATGATGATGATGATCATTAATCTCTTTCTTTGCTATGTCTGGTTTGGTTAATATTCTTTATCTGTGAAACCTCATTTCAGGTTGGATTACAACAAATATATATATATATATATATATATATATATATATATATATATAGACACGCACACAGCATGAAATTGAATTAATTTACATTTCCATGGTTCAACAAAAAATATATGGTGTTTCTCTCTCCCCCGATATGTTTGAATTTCTAAGAAAAACAAAGTGTGTATATACATTTGCCAAACAAAATATAACTATTGCTTTGTAAAACAATCCACATGTTTATCACTTTAAACAGTTATAAGTGGGACACATTTTTATTTAAAAAAAAAAAAAAAAATCTAAAATAAACAGGACTCTAAATCAAGCCAGAGCAGGACTCTATATCTAACACTAGAGTCCTGATTTTAACAATAAAAGTCATAATATTCTAAATTAAACAGGACTCTATATCTAACACTCTAGGGGCAGGCAAGGTAATAAATGATTTTAGGAACCGCATGAATGTGGAGCTGAGACATAGTCCAGGTCTACTCCCCATACGCGAAAGGGAATTAAAGAGCATACACACAACAGGAGAGGGGCAGAAGTGGAAGTGACGTGCATGACCAGTTGTTTGTGGACTCGACTTTTCACAACAATGAATATTACTAAATTGCCCCCAGGGCTTGGTGACGGTGGTGGACAATACTCGGTCCCCCATTAAGAGAATGAAATTTATCCTGTGACCCAATATAATTTAGATATATGTTCAAGTTTTTAAATTTTCTAATAATGGTAAGTATCTAATTTCTTACTGTTTAAACCGAAATTTATTTTTTTTTTCTTTCCCAATTTAAAATTTTTAAGAATCCCTCTTTTAGGGTCTTTCTTCTCTTTTTCTCCTTGCAAATATTCATATCCAACCTCCATCTCAATACAAATCAACCGAAACTCAGAAGTGACACAAAACTGTACCAATCAGAATTTGTAGTATTCACAAAATTCTAATCGTTCTTATCATATTTTCCACCCATGAGAGGGGGGAAAAAAAATTACCAAAGATGAAAAACATAGATATAATGTTGACAAAATAATAATATTTTAATATCCTACTCGTTTAAGGAATATGTTAATCTATATGAATATGAGATTTTCTCACATATACGAATAGGTGTTTTTTATTAGGTACATTCTCTAAATGAATTTAGTAATTTTTCAATTTCATATGGAGGTTGGGTATAGAAATAATGGTGATTGTGTAGGAAAGAATATATATATATATATATATATATATATATATTGGGTTTAATTTAATCAGTAAGAAAATAGGTAATAGTTATTTTTTAAAAATTTAAAATTTTAGACGTGTTCAGATTGTATTGGACCACATGAGCTCGGAGAATGAACTTCATCCTCCTATGGGAAGACCCAAGTATTGTTAATAAGGTAAAGGGCTGGGTTCTAATATGTCGCGGTTTCAACCTATGACTCCTAATTTAACGGTCGATTGCAACATGATTTGTAACTTGTAGTGGGTCTAAAGGATCTCCCAGGAAAGTTTTGAGTTAAAAAAAATAATAATAATAAAATAAAATTACACAAATTTAAGTGTGTCAGGCATATTTTATTGGCCTTTGTCTTTGAATTCTCAGCTTTCACGTTTTTGAGAGGTAAATGACATAATTACTTCACTAGACAAACTATGTATATATATTATAGTAATGAAATAGTTAGTCTAAGGCAACCAATTAAGGATAATTATTGAACTGAATAGACTAGCTTGTTCTCTATGTTTTGCTCTCGACGGCGTCATTTCTCATGTTGCAACTCTCCTTTATTGTCACTTGTTTATTCCTCACATCCACCGTGCATTCTTTTAGTCCTTCGAAAAAAATTGAAAAGGTAAATGATATATGAGAATTGATATTTTTTAATTCTATCAGATTTCATAACTTTTATTACTTCATATAGCATAATCAATTTGAATTTGCCCTAAATTCCTATAAATATCATAGTAGAGTCCAAAATCTAATGCATTATGCATATACGTCATTACTTATGTATGAAAATTGATATTTAAACTCAGTTGTTTTTTAGCCTTTTTTTTTTTTTTTTTTCCAAAATCTAATGCATTATGCATACACATGTAACAAATGAGAATTTACAATTTACCTTGGAAAATTCTTAATCAACAAGCCATCCGTGCGAGTTCTTATGAACTCAAATTTGAGTATTATTATTGTAAAAGCACTTAAAAAAATAAAATCATACCCTATATGCAGTGACAGCCAGAAATTTTTGTAAGGGGAGGTGGCCTTTTAATTTGTTGGGGCAAACTTATATAATAGGTTTATTTTTGTAATTTTAATAGAGTTTTCTTCATAAATTTTTAGAAAATTATTTTAGTATAAAATGCAAAAACAAAATTTTAATGGGGTGAATTGTAATTTTAGTGGGCGCATCTTCATAAATTCTCAAAAATTAAAAGTATAAAATGCAAAAAGAGAAAAGAAAAGAAAAGAAAAAAGAATTCAATGGAGGCGAATTATAATTTTAGTGGTGGCATCTTCATAAATTCTAAAAAAATTAAGATATAAAATAAAATATAAAAAATCCGGTGGGGGCATCCACCCCCACTAATCCTATGTTGGGTCAGTATCTGCCTATATGATTCTAAAAAAATAAATTATTTTCAAGTGAATTTATCAGTCCAATTATTTATTCAGTTACCCAAATTTTGAAGTGTTGTCTCATATGGGATTGGATTATTTGGATTAGGTGTTAACATTATTTAATAGTTTTAATTTTTGTATCGAAACGATGTTCCTTATGTTAGTAAAATATATGCTTCATGTGACATTTAAGATATAACAAATCTTATACTAATATGTCATTAGATAATTAACAATATGCTAAGAAATCATTAATTAAATATGCAACTCTATATTTAATTAAATATGCAAAATAAATTAATAAAATCATAATAATCAATAAAGAACCTGGACCGAGGCTAGTATTGAATACTATGTCCTTAAGACAGATTCGCCCCGCTATGATGCTAACGGACTCAGTGGCGTCTATCTCCCAGGATACAACGGTCTACATCCACCAGTAGCAGCACTACAAACTCGTGGATACGGCGAACCTTCTCCGTGTAATACTCTCTCTGACTCAAAAATGCATCTATGCTATATAAATGCTGAATTGGGTGCAATTCGAATCAAATGGTTCGGACCAATCTTAATATAGCTCGATGAAATTGGATTAGGGTCTAAGTGATTCGGACCAATTAACCTATGGTTTGAACCCACTTGGGTTGGGTTCAAGTCTAGAGAGGGAGATAGAAGAAAATGAAAAATGAACGACTTGCAAATGATCCAAAGGGGGGTATTTATAGAAATAGAAATGCCTTTTTCGGATGGGGTGCGTCTTTTCATCATTGGACACAACCATTGCAATAGGTTGCAATGGTTCACATGGTGTCTGTTCACCATTAGACACATCCATTCCAATAGGTTGCAATGGTTCACATGGTGTCTGTTCACCAATAGACACATCCATTCCAATAGGTTGCAATGGTTCACATGGTGTCTGTTCACCAATAGACACATCCATTCCAATAGGTTACAATGTGCCTTTTCGAGTGGGTGCAACTATGGGTTATGATGGTTCGGAAAAAGGTGTAACCCTTTGGAAAAAACTAAAAGTGGTTTTTTAATTTAAAAGGTGTAACCCTTTAGAAAAAACTAAAATATGGTTTTTTAATTTAAAAGGTGTAACCTTTTAGAAAAACTAAAAAGTAGTTTTTTTAATTCAAAAAACCAACCACCCAAAAACCATACTCATTTGTGAAACCCATTTAAATAAGTCCAGCCCAAAATTAGGCCCAATCCAAAATTCCAAAAAAAAGAATAATCTGGACTTTACAATTAGGCCCAAGCCCAAGCCCAAATCCTAAACTCAGCTTATTTAAATTTCAATTTGTTTCAACATTTTTTCCATGTGGGACAAACACTTCCCACATTTTGCATACCCATTTAGGCTTATCAAAACACCACACTTTGGAGCTAATTTCTCATTCATCCGGAAATGGATTTCAGAAAGTAAATATACCACGTTCATCTCCTTGCGGAGAAAAACGCGCTTGTCTAGAGATCCGTAAAAAATTATGAGCGAAATCTATTTCAAATCTCATCCAAAGTTTATGTTTTTAATGCCCCCGTTTCCAATAATCCCCCACATGAATGAAAATTTGCGTAAAATGCAAAAGATGATTATGCAGACACTAGAGAGAGTATAATCGAAAAGTTACTGCATCAGGATAGGTGGCTTTTGGCTTTGAACCTTCCCTAGTGTATTGCTATCGGATTTACTAGCTAACCAGTGAACGCGATGTCTTGAACTGTTCAGCCGTTTGTGTAAACCAAGACAATAACAAACACACAGTAGCTTTCCTCACAAAGTTGGTTCTCATTGTTGTGTTCATTTTGGCCCTGAACAAGTCCTGGTATTCAATGAGTGCTCTAGAAAACTTAGCCTTTATAGTTCTCATAGAAGCGGCCCCACTTCACACTCATATAGGTAACTTCTTATTAAGAGTATCCTACCAAACCCCACTTGAATTTTCAAGGTATAAGAGTCATTAAAAGCGTAGCTTATCTTGATCATCGCTGTAGGTAGCACTGTCTCATCATAGAAATGGGTAGAAGATTTATATCTTCCCAGTGCTTTTGGTGAGTCACTCAGAATTTCTGTTGTCCCTTTGAACCTAGATCTTAGGATCTCCAGTCAGCTAGGTTAGGTTTCCATTAAGGTGACTCGTTAACTTTCGGCTTTAAACCCCATTCCCCTCGATGAACTGTACAATTGCTCTCTAGTACAA